GTTCAGTTTTCCATCTTAAAAATCTAGACATACTTTTGATCATTATCAAAATATGAATGAAATATGATGCCCGTAGAAATTGCGTAACTAATTTGCACGATAATCACAATAAAATTTGCTGCGCAAGTAATTCAATAGCCCTATATCACAGTGTAGAAGTTTATCATATACCTGTGTACGAAATTGACAATGGCCGATATGTAAGTAAACAAGCTGACTCTAATGTGTTAGTTATATATTCTTCTTCGTCTATACAATTCATAAGAAATAGTTTGGTTGCAATAAAGTAGAATCACGTAACAGAATAGTTGTATAGTTGACAAAAACTGAATCTTGCACTGACGCGAATGTCCTATAGCGGCTGCAAGAGGCTTACACTTTTGTTGTATAACTGTTACCAGCAGCCGTTATACTTAAATGACTGAAGTGTCCTATTAGGTGTGCCCATTCCGCTTGTGTAGCAGTTCTAAGAGGGTTTTGCTAATGTTCTTACAGTATACAATGCTGTTTAAGGAATACTGTATAATCATTCTTGCAACTCTATTAGGAGTGATAATTGTTAGTAGGTTGGGAGGGCTTTGGGGCTCCTTGGAGTCTACCCTCCCGAAGCGCAACAGCTCATTACGCTCTTCTACATATTACAGCATGTTATACCTTCTGTGAAGTGTAGCTACCTGGAATAAACGAGTCCCCCCCTCTGCTATGCAGTTTTATGTCTCCAAGATACCCCTCCCGCACCGAGACGGAATTTTCGTGTATCACCCTGGATCTTGAGCCTCCCCCCAGATCTTTTCCTGGATAACACTACTGGTTGAGCAATATCTCAATCTACAGGAAACAATTACTATCGCGAAATCAACCACAACAGTGGCTCCTACAAATCATTTTTATGGGCACATTTCAAATTTCCGTCATCGGATTAAACTAGGAAGTCACAGATGAATAAAATTAACAAATCAAAACTGATCATAATTGTTTGTATTAGCATTGGGAGGATTTCTGGAAAAGCAAAAATTCTATATACAGGGTGTTTCAGTTTATTGTTGCATAACTTTAAGATTCAATAGAACTTTTAAAATTAATGCATAAAGTCTATATAAACATGGGTCGAAAAATGCGTGGCTTCCGAAATACAGGGAGTTTAAATTTACTTTTTAAAATAGTTTTTTTTAAATATTTCGAACAATATTTGACTGTAACCGCTAGAGGGCGCTCTCTACTGTACCTGTAGTGTATTAAAATGACCGAACATTTTTTCTTAGTGCAATTTTTTGCTTTTGGAATAAAAAAACTGATTCTTCGCACTTTTCTGCATAAAAAAGCTCTCCTGTGAGTTTTCGTTATAGTTAGCCGTTTTTGAGATATTTCGATTTTTAGGGTTCGATGCATTTTTAATTATTTATGGGACAATAATATTTTTTTTTACATTTTCGATTTGGGCATTACAAGTAATTAAGCTGATCGTTTAGATTGTGTTTTTAAACACAGCAATAATTCCTAACTCCAAATAAACACAAAAAACAATATTAATTTGTTTAATTTTCCAATATTATTTTAACAAATTCAATTAATTATTTACAACTAAAATGCTAGTGGATAGTTAGGACAAACATACAAAATCTAAAATAGTTGCTCGAAATGTAAACCCAATTGTTCAATACACAATTCACATCTACGAATGATCGAACGTGGTATAGCATTATTCAAATAAGGCCTTATTTCATCACATGCATTCCTGATTATGTCTATTAGCATATCTCTTGTGGTTACAGGAGTCTGGTACACTTTTTCTTTTAGAAATCCTCACACAAAGAAATCTAATGGATTTAGGTCAGGGGATCGTGGAGGCCAGGCGATTGGTCCTCCACGGCCGATCCATCTTTCTGGATAATTTTCGTCCAGCCAGTTTCTAACTTTTCTCGAATAATGAGCTGGACAACCATCAAGCTGGAACCAGGCCAATCTTCTTAGATCTAACATAACAACATCCCACATATTTGCATGTTCAGCCTTTAAAAATTTTAAGAAGGTCGCAGCATTTAACCTTGCAGGCAAAAGGTAGGGTCCAAATAGTCGATTACGGTAGATACCAATCCACACGTTCATACTAAATTCATGCTGAAAATTTCTTTCCCGAACTGCATGTAGATTTTCATGCGACCAAATATATTGATTATGAAAATTTACCACTCCACGTCTAGTGAAGCATGACTCATCGGTCCATAAAACGTTACTTAAAAACTCCCTATTATTATCAGTTCTGTCAAGAATCCACTGACAAAATGTGATTCTTCGTTCTCCATCCCCTGGCTGTAGTCCTTGTACAGGTTGCAAATGGTAAGGACGTCTATAGTCATTTCTAAGAACACGGTTAACATGGCTTGCTGAAATTCCCAAGGCACCAGAAACACTCCTAACACTTGTGGTCGGATCTCTATCAAACTCACGCAGAATCATACGGGTAAATGTGCGCTGACGAACATTTATGTTTTGATCCCTTTGGAGATTTCCAAAACCATTTTCAATTATTTGGCGATGCACTCTTACAAATACTGAGCGAGTTAGATGTCGTCTGTTTGGAAATCTTCGTGCTTATTCTCTGGCTGCTTCTGCTGCGTTTCCATTTACAAAGCCATACACAAAATGAATATCCGCTAACTCTTGATTGGACAATAAGAATGGCATTTTTATAAAACTTACAAAAAAAAAACAGGTAAAAGAAACTAAATTTCGTGCATTCACAATTGCAAAAAAACGTTTCACGTTTCAACAGACAACAAAACTAATATCTTCTGCTTTCAATTTCAAAAATATTTGCAGGCACAGCCTACTTCTAAAAATTAACGTTATTTTATCATAAATAATTAAAAATGCATCGAACCTTAAAAATCGAAATATCTCAAAAACGGCTAACTATAACGAAAATTCACACGAGAGCTTTTTTATGTTGAAAAGTGCGAGGAATCAGTTTTTTTATTCAAAAAGCAAAAAATTGCCTTAAGAAAACATTTTCGGTCATTTTAATACACTACAGATACAGTAGAGAGCGCCCTTTAGCGGCTACAGTAAAACTATGCCCATGGTGCGTTTTGTCGTACCAAAAAACCCTTGTATACCAATTTTCACTGTTATAATGTATATCAAATATTGTTCGAAATATTTAAAAAAAAAACTATTTTAGAAAGTAAATTTAAACACCCTGTATTTTGGAAGCCACGCATTTTTCGACCCATGTTTATATAGACATTATGCATTAATTTTAAAAGTTCTATCTAATCATAAAGTTATGCAACAATAAACTGAAACACCCTATATTTGGTTTCTGTCTAAAGTGGCGAACCTACCAGTATGTCTACAAAGTAAGAAGCATGTAGACCAGAATGCAGTTTTGTATAGGCACAGAAAGTGGTTAAAATAAATACTGGTGAAATACTTTTCAGAGCTAATGAAATTAGTTGCAAGAAGGATAAATAGCCAGCGCTAATTTCGTAAACTAAACGTTTTTCATATTTATATTTTATACGAGAATGTTCAGTTTCCAAACGTAACTATGTTCGGTAGCCTAGCACTTACGGCTTGTCTATTCAATACCAAACATCCAACCTACCATATCAGAACTAATCAAACAACCTGCTTCTCCCTGAATATTGAAATTTGAAAGAAATATTTTGCTTTTCACAAGCCTGGAGATATATTACATATAAAGATGTAATCTGCTTTGAAAATCACACCATATTGGGAATTTAATTAAGCCTACACCTGATCAACAGCAATAGCCCACCGCCACTAGAGACAACCATTTTTGGAGGCCAGAAGATGCAAGAGGTATGTGCAAGTTGGATGGCTCATCTTTGTACATTCGGTAAAATTTAGTATATTTTTCAGTAACTACAAATCTCCTATTTGCATCATTCTTTGTTTCCTTAAGTTTCACAATTAACAACGTTCCCGAATCTTCAATACCATCCAATGTTACCTGGCTGATTTCACAAATTTGACAAGCCTCTGCAATCCCAAATACAACAACAAGCTTGGCCATCAAATAAACTTCATCGGTAGTATTATTTAAAAAATCACTAATTTGTGTACTCGTGAGCATCGCAGCTTTCTTGGGGTTGCAACCTTTCCCATTTTGTTTCAGAAGTGTAATTAGATTGAAATATTTTGAAATGTCTACATTATTATTTTATCGTAACATACATTTAATCATTGAATAATTCGACCACACTGTTGATCGAAGTTTTTCTTCATCTTCCATTCCATGAATCTTGAATACGCGGCTTCGTAAATTTTCCGCGATAATTTTTGTGACGCTACTTTGGCTACTTCTACTAATTCCAGTGGAGTCAAAGAAAACTCGGAGTCAGACATTATATACTTTAGAGTATTAAAAATAACTTCTAAGCAACCACTAATTTTTAAATCAAATCACAAAATTAATTTAAATAATTTTGATTACTTTAAAAGTTTCCTTAGCAACGCAGGTCTAATTGTCGCTATAAGTACAACATACCCTACTAATTTCAAAATTCAAATTTCACATCGATAATTTTCTGACTTAAATATTGTAATAATATAATTCTTCAATATTAAATCGTCGTTTTTCCCGTCATAGAAAGAAATTGTGTATTATACACGGGAAAAATACTAGATTTTAGCTAAAATCTAGTACTTTTTTCCCTTGTATAATACTATAATAACTATTTCTGGTTGTAACACTTTTAATGTCACTGAGTATATTACACAATGTCTTTGGATATTTACAAAAAATTCTCGTTTGATGTTGTACCTAATTGGATTCAATTTGAACTCTCATTTATGCCTCTTGATCTTAAAAAAACTTATGGACTGCTTAAACTAGACAATCACTACTGCTTTTATTCCTGAACTCTGAATGTCCAGAACTGCTCGTATAACTGATTCAAACGTATCGCCTCGCCCTTTCACGAGAAGCATCTCTAAAACGGCACCGTACAAAAAAACTCCATTATTTAATTTACCTTTTCACGCAGACCTACTCGATGGACTGCTATTTCCGCCAGTCCTGGGTGGACCGACGGCTGGCGTTCTCCGGGGATTCCCGGGAGACTCTGGCCTTGAGTATCTCGATGCTGGGAAGAATCTGGAAGCCAGACACATATTTCTACAACGGCAAACAGTCCTATCTGCACACGATCACGACGCCTAACAAGTTCGTGCGGCTGTACCAGGACGGGAGGGTTTTGTATTCTTCGAGGTAAGTGCAATGTCATATTACAGGGTTGCCACGACTACTGATTTTGTCAGTAGAACTAGGGAGAAAATTACGACAAAAATTTCATTCTTGTGTTGAGTAGATGAAGTTTTAGATAAAGAATAAATATAAAGAAAGATTAGATAAAAGTTTTGGCAGAAAACTCATTGGCGTTTTTTTTAACAAACACAAAATAATATCAAGTTGCCTTTGGGAATAAACGTTTGTTTACTTACCTCACTGTTAGTTGACATTTATTTATTTTAAAGTTTTCGCTTTAAGATGTCGTATAAATTAGAAATAAGAAAAAGTGCCTACAAGTTGGTACCCAAAGCTGGAATCTGTCGAATATTCCAGAATGAAAACATTTCACCCAGAACCATTTATCGAACAATAGAGGATGAATCACCCAAAAAAGTGCATTTATTACACAGAGGTCAGAGAGATTGGCGAGAAGAGCAAAAAATCAGGTTGGAATGTCAACAAGGAGACTGGCTCGTTAATAAAGATCTTCTAAGAGTGCGATATCGTTGGAATTGAGGAGGAATTGATTTTAAAGCTCTCAAGCGCAACTCATTCGTATACCAAGATGTTGTCGTCAACTGACGCGGTTACACTTTGCCAATGGAAAAATCATTATTTTAGATGACGAAAAGTATTTCACTTCTGAGAAACTCTCTCGTGAATATTGAGGGTGTTTGTAAATCATGGACATAAACCCAAGAGATTCTTTGGACTACTCAAAAACCATTTTGCAGTTTGATAGAAGACGGCAACACTTTTGATATGTTGCCTGCCATATTAGCTGAATATCCTAGCAGGGGATATAAATGATAATTTGTCTACAGTTTGTAACAACTTGATTGAATGCCTTGATTCTTATGATCTGTAACAGGGGATATCTGAAGTGAATGAAGTCTTAGGAGTGGCACCATTAATGCTGATATGATTACCGATCACTATTTAACCTTATGTGATATACGTGTTACTACACTTCCTAAAAATCATCATAAATTTGTGACATTCACCTAGAGCTATCGGTTAACGAAGGTAATAATAATATGACTTGCCAATTATAATATAAATAGAGTAAGATATTTTATGGAGCCCTATTAATAAAACAAGACAGTTATATTGGATTAAGCAAACTATTTGTTTGATGTCATGAATAGTGAAGATTAAAAAATAAATGAAATGAAAAATACTTGTTTATTATACAAGGAAAAAAGTACTAGATTTTAACTTGAGGTTGTATTTGACTACTTCTACTAATTAAGGTAGAGTCAAAGAAAACTGCGAATCAGGAATTTTTTATTTTATAGTATTAAAAATAACTTCTAAAAAACCACTAAGTTCACAATTTACAAATCAAATCACAAAATTAAATTGACAGCTATTTGATTACTCTAAAAGTTTTCTTAGCAACGCAGGTGTAATTGTCGTTATAAGTACAACATAGCCTACTGATTGCAAAATTCGATAATTTTCTGACTTAAATATTGTAATAGCGTCACATAAATTATTGCCAGCTAAATCGCGGAAAACTTACGAAACCGCGTATTCAAGATTCATGGAATGGAAGATGAAAAAAACATACAGTTCTTTGTCGGTGACGGTGTTATTGGCTTATTTTCCGGAATTGGCACGACAACAAAAGTCATCGATAGTGTGGTCGAATTATTCAATGATTAAAAGTATGTTACGATCCAATAATAATGTAGACATTTCAAAATATTTCAAACTAATTACATGTCTGAAACAAAATGGGAAAGGTTAAGCCTGCGATTTTTACGAGTACACAAATTGGTGATTTTTTAAATAATGCTCCCGATGAAGTTTATTTAATGGCCAAGGTTGTTGTTGTATTTGGGATTGCAGAGGCTTGTCGAATTTGTGAAATCAGTCAGGTAACATTAGATGATATTGAAGATTCGGGAACGTTATTAATGTAAATCATTTTGTGTGTAAAAACCAGTTCTATAAGGTTCCCCAAACAGTGGCTAATTTTCTTCAACTTAAAAATGCTAACTCATATGCATATTTCGAAGATTGTCTGCTACTCTTTTAGTTGATTCTGGGGGAGACTTGGTGACATTAAAGGAACATGGCGGTTGGAAGTCATCAACGGTCGCTGAAGGGTATGTTGATGAATCGGTAGCACACAGGACAGAAATAGCTAATAAAGTAACATCAACGGGAGTTGTGATGGCAGGAAAACATATAATTTCAACACAAGAAAATGTAACTGTTGTACCGAATAGTGGAACGTATCGTTCATGCAATGCACATTTAATAATTGTACTTTTGATATAAAGGAAATGTAACTTTATTGTATAATAAAATATTCTAAAGTTAAATATCTACCTTTACTTATGTGTATATATTCAATATCTGGGAAAAAGTACCCATTTCTTTTCCGGGGGAAAAAGAATTTTGATAAAAAATGCCAAACATAAATACATTTTCAAAGACTGGCTTTTATTTAGTTGTTCATAAAATTAACTGAAACATTAAAAATATTTTTTTACAATTGAAAATGTTTAAACAATAATAAAGCTCCTCCATATCAAGTTTTCAAATAAAAGGGTGTTAAGTGATAGTCGGATATAAAAAAGGTGTGACACTCATTTATTTAAGAACCTGAGATGAAGTAGCGTTATTTAGTTCGTTACACGAACAGCTAAATAAAATCTTCTTTTTGAAAATGTACTGCTTATATTATTTATACGTTATTTTATTACCATGAATCCACGAGTTCTAACTTGCAATCTTGACTCGTTCAAAAAGTAAGTTGGGGGACGTTTTTGAAAACCTGTTTTTCTAACACGTACACTCTACAATTTTGCATGACTTATTTTTTAAATAAATAAATGAATTATTTACTTTCGCTGCCAGTATGAAATGTAGGTACCTATAGCTATTGTGTCACTTTGAAAAATAAGGATATGACATTTGGATGATACATTTCAAAACTCTGCTTAACACTATCAGGATACCCAAGCATTGTTTTTTAGGAAAACGAATATCAGCCAAGAGACTTTTGCTCCCCATAAATCAGCTTTATTACCGTACTTTCGGAAGCTGCAACCGCTGGACAATCGCCTTTTTTCCTAATTCACCGAACATTTGTGTTCTCGGCTGCAAATGGAGCCAAGAGATTTTCCTAGATAAGGTTGGAAGTTATATCGTTACATACGAAACATCATCGATTCATCAAAAAGTGTATCGTAGTTAGAGCCAGTATCGCCCAAAGAAACTACCCGAGAGCATATTTGAGAATTTTTAGCTCAAATTAGTGAAATGGTTGGTTGGCGCATATACAGGGTGTGCCAACCTAAATAGAAAGTAGTTTTAGGAGCAAAAAGTAATCGAACAACTGTTTTTGTGGCAACCTTGATATGTTACTGGTGCATACTTAAAAGTTATTTTATAACTTCATACCATAGTAAACATATATTTTTTTAATACATATGGTTTCGATTGTCAATTCTTTACATATTTAGTGAAATGCTCACCTTTGACGTCTCGCAGCTCCGTCATTTTTCAAGATATTTACATAAATCTTAGTTCACAAAAACCTAGTTATCATCGATTTTAAGCGGATCTGTGCTAAAATTATATTCTATTTATACAGGGCATCTTAAAACGCCGAATACACGTTTTACCTCAAAAATTTCAAATGGGACACCCTGTATATTTCTACATCGTTAAATAGTTTTTTTGGTGAACTTTTCGATACGAGGTTTCTACGACCACTTTCCAGACGTTTTTGCGTTGTTGTTATTCAATAAATTTCAAAATAACCAAATATAAGCATGAAATCAAATCTTCTAACAAGCTCTTACACTGATCTGCAACAAAATCCTCCTTCAAATAATTATGACATAAATTTGAAGATTTTATATAGCTGAAAACAAAATTTCCTCTAATCGGTGACGCGAAATTGAAAGAAGGAATTTCTGTAGGTCCGCAAATACGAGAACTTATGACTTATGAAGTTTTGAATTTGAAGTTGTACAAGGCTGTCACTCAAAATTCATTTCTTGGGCTCGCATGTAGATTTCTTTCCAGAAAATCTCGGTGCCGCATCACACGGGTATGGTGAAAGGTTTCATCAGGTTATTATGCATATTGAAAGACGCTACAATGGAAAATGGTCAGCAGCAATGCTTGCTGATTTTTGTTGGTCGATTCGCCGAGAAACTGCGATGGAAACGATGAAAAGAAAAAAAAACTACAAAACAAATTGAATTATATCATCATATTGAGATAAATATATTGGTATTTATTTAACTTGTGACTGTAAAATTAGCATATTTCACTGTAAAACTTAGACCGTAGTCTTTTTTCACTTTTTTGTAATTGATATTAATTTGATATATTTTCTTTATTAAATTGACATTGTATTTAAAATCTATCATCTGTACTTATTTGCATGTTAAATTCCGAGCTTAGAGCATCGAATTTGATGTTATTGTGCATGAAAACATTCAGAAGAAAAAATTTTTTTTGCACACCAGTGTTATTAACATAACAAAAATAAACTCAGCCTAAGGCAATTAATCGTTAATAAATTGTTTGAATATAATTCCTTGGCGCAAAGCGGAAAACGTCAGCGTGTCCCTATGGCCTCTTTATGAGTGGATTAGAAAAATCATTCATAGCCACTTCAATGCTGCCTTGATCCGTCTACTGCAGGTTGGCATATTTTAGCCGTAATTTTTGAAAAAAAAAATGGTAGTGGATCTCGGTTATGTTGAGGCTTTGGTAAATTGTTTTATTGAAAATTTCATATGTGGGCTAGTAGCACGTAAATTCTCGGCCGATTATCTATAGGAAAGAGCATCTGGAGTACCTGGTCAGCAGGATTGATGCTACTTCTTGACATATCGACTTGTGTATTATGAAAGAAATCACTTTAATTTAGAAAAGAGAAGTGCGAAGAAAGGATTGATTGATAGGCTCCTCGAGTTGGGATGTTAAAGCTTTTCCAGCACTGAAAAGTCTGTAAAAGAACAAGATCACACTGACTAGACAGATTATTAACTTTCACTTTCCATTTGATAGGTAGACAATTCCGGTTTTAGTGTAGAGCATAGAGACACACTTCTCTTGATTACTAGCTTTCTTCGTAGTCAAATAGAAACTCGGTATTGAGGAACTGTACGGTTCAAGTCAAAATGGTCTTAGTATCCTTTCCTGCTTACTTCGCATAGAATGCTTAGCGCGGTTATTTAGTAGTTTTGCCTGAAATGTTCTGAAAATCAGATTTACACATGGATTTCGATGTACTATTTTTCAATGTTTTCTTTGATACCTGATATACTCATTTCCACTCGACCTTTGATAAAGATAGTCAAGTTATACATACATAATGAAATGATAGGTAGTATGGACCGAGATCTTGTCCATATTTCAAAATAAAAAAGCCTTAAAATCATTTTTTGCGGGTAAAATTACATATATATTTAACATCACATATCTCAGGCACTATGATTGAAGCAACTTTGAGAAGGGTAAGTCCGGGGGAGATGACCGCAGTTTTTGTCAGACGTTACAAAAATGAAACTATTAGTATTTTTTCGAAATTTTTATTTTAGACCAGCCTTTAATCATTTACGTATAAAAGAAAACAAGGAGAGAGATGGCCATGGTAGTAAGGGAACGATGGCCAGTAGTTTACTCCGCTCTTTTTTAGTCTTCTGCTTCTCTTCTCATCTGTTTTTTTTGGCCTCACTTAGAACGCATGTTATCAAAACCTTGCCAGGTGGTTTCCTTTGCACGAAGTGGCTTCGAAGCCATTCTAAAAAGAGTGCAGATGTTATGTAAGCTGACTTTTCTGACATGAAAACTTGGGTACCTGGAGGCATTCCATCTGAGTATTCAGATTTTTTATTTTCACCTTCAAAAATGCAAGCAGGTGGCAAAAAAAGTTCCTCCGGCATTGCAACATCCAATAACAGTGATAGTTTCTCATTTTTCGGTAGAAGTTATCGTAGATACATATTTTTAACATTTTTTTACTACAACGTATCCTGGGCGATTATTTAATTATTATTGTTTCATCCATATAAAAAATACAGTTAGCTTTTCCCATGAGATCATTAACTGTCAAAATCTGCTCCAATAACTTGAAATAAGCGTCGACTTGTACTCTGTTCAAAGCTTGAGATCTAGCCACTGAAACTTCTTCAGACTTTCGTAATGAAATATCAGAGTTTATTTCCAAACCCATTTGCATCCAATCATGACCAGCTTTTTCAGTTTCTTTTGTTTGTTGAATCTGTGAGATATGTTTAGTCGCTCTGCAAATGTCTGCATTGTCCTGACATCATCAATAGTGAATGCGAATCCTTTACTTTGCATGGTTTTTATATGAGTCTTTGTTCATTTTGTTCTCCAAGGATAGAAGATGGCCCCATAGGAACTTTTTTTATCATTGTCATTTTTGTATCTTTGTTCCAATATTTCACGTGGAACGCCGTAGGTTTTAGATGTAGAGTAAATGGTAATTTCCTGATTTTTAACAGAATTTGTAGTGGCCTTAAGTGATTCTTTTGTCCAATTACCGTGCTTTGTAAATATTTTTGTCTTGTAGTGAAACATTTAGTTAAAAATTAAATTTATAATAAGGCCACCTTTACCGGGCCGTGTATGGATCTCTCCTTATTTGACCGGGAGAGATGGCCATATCAGAATAAAAGTGAAGAACTCTGCATTACTTACAACTTTGAGCTTAGAATGCAAAAAGCAATCATGCTAAATGTGATAAAATATAAAAACTACAAGTTTCTACTGATTTTTTTTCACCATAAGGTAAAAAGTGAACCCTCTGAACATTGTTTACACATTTGAAGAAAAATAAATATGTTTTTACTTACTTTTTTATCTAATTTCACATCAATTTTGCAAGTGCTCCTAATCGTCTCCGCTGGCAGAAGTATAAGCCAGTGCCATCTGGCTATTAGTTCCGAAAATAATCTCTCCCGTACGGCCATCTCCCCCGGACTTACCCTGACGTAATACTAGTCGGATGACTATAATAAGCATACCAGCATTTTAAGCTAAATATTGGAATGTTTGCCCATGTACAAAAAAGTCAATGTATGGTGTTTAATAATTAGCAGAATGGACTGTTTTTTTTTCTTTTTTAGTTATTCAAAGATCTCATTTCTATCAGTTTATGTGACCCAAAACTCAAAGTAGACGTTATCTACAGGGTGTAAACGTTATGGCCATCATTATTGAAATGGGTAATAGGGGGGGGGAGGGGGTCAAAACAAGTCAAAAAGTTCATATGACCCATGGTCCAAAAGTCAATAGATTTTTGTCTAAATGGCTTTATAGTTTACAATTTTAAGTGCTTTATATCGACGACAATCACTACAATCTTACTAATTTTTATAATGTAACCTAAAACGTTTTTAATCTGGGTAATTAACAAAGAAATGGCCTTAAGTTTTTCTAAGTTAAGCCAAAATTTATAGTCAGTATGTAAGTTTCATTAAATTGAATATTTAAAACACACGTGACAACAGCGCGTCGGTTATCATCACTCTTATCCAACCAACAATCGATGGCAAGTGGTTAGTATGTTGTTTTGTTTTTGTTCGCGTACGTCGTCGTCTTGATTTAGAATGTTCTCGAATCAAGAGTTCGAGGACATGTTGTTAGTATACGGTGAAGCTCGTCAGAATTCAAATCTTGCAGCTCAAATTTATCGCGACAGATTTCGCCAACGGATACACCCAGACAGAAGGACAAGTGTGCCAAAGACTTAGAGATATAGGAAGTGTTCAGTCCACTAATATTCGCACTCGTGAAAGACACTACTGAAGAGCAGGAAAAACAAATTTTAAATATCGTGGAAATCAATGCAGATATCAGCGTAGGACTATCGTATACCATAGTCCATAGAATCCTACGGCAAAATTTCCTTTACTCCTACCATGTACAACGAGCGCAGGCCTTGTTACCAGAAGACTATCCTCGCAGACTAACATTGCTATTTATAAGTGTATATTTTAATACGTTCAATAAACTGTCACACACCAGGTGAAGCGCTGAGACAGTTAGTGGTAAGTTCGTTTTTTTTAATTGTTTGCATTTTACGAGTACATTATCAAATAATGAAATAATACCTAAGAGCCAAAAATAACAAACTCAATCTTTATTTACACTGCGTTCCCTTGTAATTTGCGTCTGGCATTGTGGCGTTGTCAGATTTTATTTTACTTTAAAGTCGCTTTTCTCTAAAAAAATGCCGTTTTGACCCCCATGTTATATGAAACTTTTTGCTTCTCTTAACCCCCTCTATCACCCATTTAAATAATGACTATCATAACGTTTACGCCCTGTATTATTGCTACATACATTTTTATTAACAAACATTTGTCAAAGTTGTGGTTGTTTGCTTTGGAAACATTTATATTTTTAAGTTACCTTGCCTTAAATATACATATCTTTGGAAATTTGGCGTGTCTCTCTCTCTCTGACTTTGACTCATCTCCTCGTCAATAAAGATCCGTTGAAAAAAGTGATTTGATGATGTTTTGTCTGTTTGGCAACCTTGTTCGGAGGATTCTCAAATGTTAGTAAAGTGGTTTTATTTTGACCAAAAAAATGTAGAGGCTATTTTAAAAGCTTTGGACATTGGCCGTAGGCATTTACAAATTTGTAAGTTCTTTTGTCTTTCTACTGGAGATAATTTGACAGGCAGGTAGTTTATACGCATTATAAAAAATTCAAAACTCACGTTGTACATTAATTTTCAATTTAAGAAAATGATCATATTAGTATGTGTTTCGAACAGCTGAACTGGTTGAATGTTGTGTAAACAAAATCCTACATACTTCGGTTCCTTTATTTTTGAAAAATACATTTATTCACGAAATATCCGATTGACTGACACTTCAACAACAACAATGAGAGTATGACAATCAAGGAGGCCATAAATGCGCCCTTCAATTGTAGGGACGACTGTTGATACGGGCCTTAGACCCGTATCGTCAGTCAGTTTATGGCCTCCTTGATTGTCATACTCCTTTCTCTCCTTCAAAAATTTCTAGATTAAACTTGTCCCGTGTCAGCGTCAACGCTCTCCTATTGTAAATATATGTTTTCTTTTTAAATCGTAGGAAATTTCAGGCTGATAAAACATGATATAACTCACACAATTTGATGCAAATAGATGTTTGTGACATAACCTCAAAATAGAGCGCTGACACGGAGAAGTAGAAAACTATGACAATCAAGGAGGCCATAAAGGCGCCCTACAATTGTAGGGACGACTGACGATACGGGGCTAAGTACTTGTACAACAGGAATCTTCAAATTAAACTAGGTTTACGTCTGAATCCACGGTTAATGCAACAGGCCACTAGAGGTACTTTAAATGTCTATAAGCTCCTTACCGACTTTTTTAAGTTGATCCTTTGGCCCGATGCCAAATGACAAGCATTAATATTTTAGGAGAATTTAAGCCTCTTGCAGACAGTATCACTTCATTTTTAGCATGCACTCTGTATATTTTACCATTTTTCACGTACTCTACCCCATATGCCTTCTTCATTAAAGGTTTTATCAATATTTTTGTTACGTGGGCACCAGTACGTATCTTTAGATTTTTTCTGTCTCGAAATGAACGGAGGTACGCGTTTTCTCCATCTGATCTCAACCCGTTTTTCAATGTTGCTTGCATATTTGATATCTGCAAAGCTTTTATGCATGGACCCTATATACCAGGAGAAGCTGTCCGTGATGTAAAAAGGACCCAGAAACTAGACGCCTGGAGTACCAGTTGTGCCATGATCGTGATTTTCCCCAAATTCAACTTGGAAAATTCTTTTGGGGCCATAATGTTGTGGGTGATATCACTAGTTTCGCAGACAGAAAGCATGTCTCCGGTCCTTGGATCAAACATTTTCTTTGCCATTAATTAATTGTGATTTGGAAGATTTTTTTCGGAAAAGAAGCATTCCTGAGTGATTTTAGTGCTCGTTGTGGGGAAATTCTGTCCGACCCATCTGGCAACGCTGTGCTTTGACAGCCATAAGAACACCAAAAAACAAAATTTAGCTCATTGTAAGTTAACTCAACTATTTTTGCTTATTTCTGTAAATCCTTGGTGTAATCTGTTGGAAATTGTTTCTGTTGTTTAGCTATCAGTGAAAAAAGCCTTTGTACGGTGATGAATTGTTTAACGAGGGGCAACAGCAACAGTTCATTGTTTAGCAATCTTGGTATTCTTCAAAATTCTGGTGGAAAACACAACCTTTGGTCCAAATTTATGGTCATTGGAGATGGAGTCGTTGATAGAATGATATGCAAGGTGATTTAAAAAAGATGACGTCTTGAGAAACAAAAATGGTGGAACTAGGCATGTAGAATCCCTGTGTTTTATAACTGTGAAAACAAAAGTTATTTGTAAAACTTAAGTTTGAACTAGCTGATTAACCATTTAGAGATTTACATTTTTCCCAACCTCAGATACATTACGCATGAGTAGCAGCAGGTAACAATTCGATCACTGTGTCCTCAGTTAGGCGTCAAGTTTTGGGGTCGTTTTTTCTCATTTTGCCTGTTTTCCTGGTATACCGGCTCCATACATTGATGGGATAACATGATTCTCATAAATCCAGATGGCGATCTTACCCCTATCTGTCGCCTGCCATCATAGTCCACATAAGGATGTCCAGCTTGTTGGGCGGCATCGACAAAAACGACTGATAGTTTGGTTCTGAAAGAAAGATCGCTGACACCGACAGGCCCTCCTTGCCTACGGTATTCAGAATCATTTACTGCAACATTTGCATCTTCTACTTTGAGGAAGTATGGCAGCAAGTCTTTATACGACCATCCAGGATTATCTAAAGCCTCCCAGTTATCTAATCCATTTTATTTCCTCTGGTATATACCATAAAATTGATAACAGAGCCTCCCCCCAAGCATTTTCCATGAGCCATACTCAAAGCTCCATTGGGACAGCCTAAAAATACCATGACAGCAATGAAATTAATAAAACAAAAACATTAAGTACAAGCTTATTTTAGCTGTTAATAAAATGAACCAGAAGTTTAAAAATATTTTTTCGATTGGAGACATTTTTTACTTCACGCATTTTTTAATTTTTACTTCGAAATTGAGATATTATGATTTTTGGATGTTATGTGACATGTATATCTCGAAAAACCAAGTCACTCAATTCCGTCGGTCTATCTGTCTGTTTGTCCGATTATTTTATAACCTCCTATAACTTGACAAGTACCCTTCGAAATTTTATGAAATTTTCACACAAATTTACTGCTATGCCAAGAATGAAAAAGCTTTATAGTTTTGGGAAATCGGTCCAGTGATGGCAGAGTTAGGAGAAAATACTCGAAAGAAATAACAATCGCTTGAAGCTTGTTTTTTGACGCTTCACAGGCTCCTGAACATTTTCGGATTTTTTTGTAGGGGTTGAAGCTTGGAGGTTAGGGGGTTATAAATGTAACGTCTCAAGTATTAGTCCAAGACGTTGTATCAATAAGAAGTTTCTTCCGTTTTGCTCATAATTCAAATAGGCTTAAAATGTGATCACCTTAATCGGTATAGACGGCATCAGAATTGCCAATTAACGTATTAAAAAAGTCATGACGGTTTCTAGGTAATGAAACGTTGTACTAGAAATATGTAACCTCTATCTGGCTAGGTAGTGCGATCATATTAAGCGAAAATATACACTTACAATACACTACACTTTACAATAATTATAAAGCTCGTTTTTATTGATGCAAGTTATTCAAGGGGTATTTAAAACGTGGACGCATAAAATGGGAACACCAATTTTTGTGGTAGAACGTTTAATTCGACAACAAAGAATGAGAAAACGGATTTATAAGTGACAACAGGTTGCTTATTTTTTGAAATCTGTTAAAAGAACGTTGCAAATAAAACCGACGGATCATATAGTTGTTCCATCCTGTGAACTATCATATTTTCAAAATAATGGTGGACCATTCGCATATTTAATCATTTCCTATACGATAAACGAACTGAATTGAACAAGCACCTGAGCAAAAACTTTCTTGTCGTTCAGCGTAAGTTCCACAATTATAGTCTGTCGGGAAAAGAATGGGGCCTGCTATTGGAATCTCTGTCAAAATATTGGGTTCACCTCCAGCTTCGAGTAGAAGAATTTTCCATCCAGTTACCTCTGAAAGTCTATTTGCTATTACTGATCCGCTAAGACCGGCACCTACTATCACAAAATCGACTGCTTCGGGGTCCCTGTGAGGTGAAAAGACTGCAAGAATATACAGCATGTTACCAGTAATGCTGCACAGCTTAAGCGTTGTAGGAGTGATGTCAGTGAGAACACGATTTTTCTCCATTTTCTCTAAAATGAGCTTATGAACACTACCTGCTCAAAAAATTGAGGAAGGAAGAAAAAGATCCGGATTTGTCGGTGATCTTTGGCAGGCTGTGAAAACTGTTCATATCGAGACTACGAAAAAAGAATTATGAAGCTCTAGATTCCAGTTTTTAGTTTTTTTGCCGAAAAATTTTAGGAGTGACGGTTCTCATGCAATTCTAACAGATAGCGCAAGAACAAATTTTAGCAAAATTTTTGACTTCTTCTTTTTAGTCAGAGGACTTGAAATACTTTTGTCTATCAGGTCACCGCATGGATCGGATACAGCTGATATTATATTTTTAAAATCTCGGTACGATCATTTGGCCCAGAGGTATCCGATTTTGAATGAAACTCATGTCAGATAACCAAATGATCGGATCGAGATTTCAAAAACATGATATTGAAGCTGACTTAGTAGGCTATCCGAACAATATAATGGCCTAACAGAAAAAAAATTAAGCCCGTGGACTAAAAAGCGGGAAGCAAACATTTTGCAAAAAATTATTCTTGCGCTAACTGTAAAAGTTGCATAAAAATCGTTGCTTTAAAATTCTTTTGGCTAGAATGCCTGAAACCTAGAGTCGCAAAGCTTCAAAATGCTTTTTTTAAAGTCTAGATACGGCCATTTTTCACTGAAATACACCCTCTCAAAAATCACCGGAAAATTTGGAGTTCCTTCTTGCTTCCTCAATTTTTTTTAGTAGTAGTTACACTAACAATGACAAGTACAGTGTAACCAAAGATTATTAGTTACACTGAGTGTGACTCAATGTTAGAACAGTTTTATCTTGAACATTAAAATTCGGTCTCATACACCCGATTTAATATTTCACTAGCTATTCCAGGACGGCGGAACTCCTATAAGGGGTTATTGATCAAAAGCTGAGATGTAGACTTGTCATTCAAGGCCCTAAAAAGGACGAACAACCCTTTCTCATCAAATAATTTCAGATAATAAGCCCGTACAATTTCGCATACTTGGTCTGAACTATCCATATTACCGTCATTCTGCTTATATGGGGAATGCTCTTCTGTTATTGCTGCAATTCCGTCTATCACTTTGGTAGACAATGTTCTAAGAAAGTCCATATCATTCAACGGGATACTTGAGATAAGTGTGAGAATACCCACTACTGTCGTATGTAATACTGACATCTGAAAAAGAAATTACTAGCAATCAAAACATAGTATGTCAGTTGTGATCAATTGTTGAAAAAATGATTCATTTTGGGTTAGATCACCAAAGAGCAATAAATAAGAGAACTTGGCTGCAGAAGAGTTATCAAGTACGTTGATGAGAAATTTTTTTATACCAAAGATCAACTTCGAATGCCATTATTACTATAACTCACGAGGGTTGTCTCAAAAATAGGGTTTCCACATTTTTTTCAGGTACAAAGAATCTATCATTAGAAACGTTGATCTTTAAGCAATTCTTCTAAATAGCCACCATTTTTTTCTACGCATTTTTTTAGTCGTGGAATCCGCTTTTCCACTACCGCCTCAAGGAAATCCCGCCAGTCCCCTTGGAAACTTGGTAACTGATCCTTGCAACTCCTGGTTCCTCTCGAACCATTGACCGGGTGCTCCTTCAATTTTGGAAAGGCTATGCCAGGACTGTAATGGTAAAATAGCTCGATTTAGTCCTTCGTTGTGTTGTGAGACATGAGGATGCGCTATGTCATGCAGTCTTTGGAGAGTTTTCCCCTACGACGATTTTGGAGTGCCCGTCACAGCTTTTTCAGACGTCTCGGGAATTTCAACCGCTTGCTCCCGGATCGTGATTCGGCGATATTCGAGCAAGATTTCCTCAATCTTTGCCATAACTTAATCGGAGATCGAAGGCCTCCTGCTTCGTTGTTCATCGTGGATGTCTATGCAGCCGTCAAAGAACTGTCTTCACCAATTGAGGACATGTTGATTGCTTATACACGTTTTCCATATACTGGGTGCCATTGCGCATGGCTGTTAGACTGCTACTGAGCGTCGCCAATAGGCGCTACTTGTTGCGGTCGATGATGGAGGAGCTAACAAACATGACAGTGTTGCCATATTTCGCATAGCATCACGCGCGGCAAAGCCACACCGCTGGGAACCATATTTTTGAAAAAACCCTCGTAATTAACTAAATGACGGGAAGCTCATTTTGTCGGAACTACCGTTTTTAAGCCATATAGAAACGGCGATTAAAAAAAAAACATCAGAGGAGGAAATATAATCATGTATCAATTGCAAAAGTTTGACTGTCCACACTCAAGCGGTGGAGAGGGTGCGAAATTGATAATTGAAGCTGCAGGGTCTGGTGCTGGTGTAGAAGCTTGGGAAGGATGTATTGCTTGTAAATTCAATTCTAGAAGGATAATACCTAAATTCAACCAAAAAGAATTTTAGATAGCGTCACTTGATATGCAGAGAAGTTGGGAGAATGCTGATTTTTGTATGTTGTATTATCATCAGTAAGACTATCAGAAACAAAAAACTCATTTTTAGTTTATTTCAGTAATAGAATTTATAACTAAACTATTTGAAATATATTCTGCAATAAAAAATAAAAAAACTAGAGACTATACATATACCATAATTTGATTTTTCAAACTGTTTGAGCTAACCGAATATATTTAAAAGAGAATAACGTTTAAAAAAAAATTTAAACCAGCGAAAAATTGTTATTTTCGTTGCGAACAAAAAAGGTTCTCGGCAATTTTATTCCAAAGTGGACCATTTTCGAGTTATAACGATTACATTCTTATGCAGTTCAAAAATGCACAACCTTGAAAAAGTATCTGCCTCCGTTGTGCTGTGCCGAGTGCTCACACCAACAAAGAGTAAGTCCGAAGCTGCACGCATGCGCAGATCACGCTAGCTCAATCTCTTTTACTCCCATACAAAGGATCTATAAGAGAATTTATCAATCCTGACGGTCCTAATAAGGATAATGGGAAACTGGTATCCGATTATTTCATAGTCCTCGGTCTTTGATAGGTGTGCGAAAACTATGTTCTAAGATTCCGTTACATACATACATACATTCATATAGGCCAAGCTAATAAAAGCGTGTTAAAAATAATATTCCCCGCAATGCCTTTAGAAGTAGCCTAAGCATTTTGATGAACAGGCCCTTTTACATCACATATGGAATTTCGATGATAATCCACCCCTGTTTGTTTACTACCATTGTAATCCACGTACGGATAGCCAGCCTGCTGAGCTGCATCTATCCAGATGTGTGACAATTTGGTATCTTCTAGTTTCATGAAATATGGCAGTAGATCCTTGAAACCCCAGCCAGGATCGCCCATTGCATCAAAGTTGTCGGAATCCATCCTGTTGCCTCTGGTATACGCCATATAATTGATGACTGACCCTACTCCCAAGCATTTCCCGTGACCAAAGTGCAGTCTTCTGTTGTTGAGACAACCTAGAGAACTAGACCACTTGAAAAGCGGGTGTTTATGGCCACACCAAGGGGGTAAACAAGTTTTCTTCCGAAGACGCAAAATTCCATCTAAGGTCTACTATAGGGTGAGCAAAAAAATGTATCTAGAGTAGGGTTTGAGTTGACTTAAAAATAAACAAAACATCAAAAAAACATAATCAAAAACGGTTTTTTGCAAGCAGATCGCTTTTTATGGGCTTAATGATATTTGCATTTATTTTGAATAGTGTAGATAGTAAAATTCTCTACAACTTTCGTTCCATAGATTTTTTCATACAATTACCCGCTTTACGATTAGTTAGAAGTTTGCTAAAAATCAGGGAACTACAGGGTGATTCTGTGCCTATAAGGCTTAGCTACCCAAAAAAGAAAAAAACATTGCAGAACCCAAACGAAGAATTGTGCCACAACAGACTTATATTTATTGTACAGGCCCCATAGAAGTAGATATCGAGGGTATACGTTTGCAAATAATCATGGGATTACAGGGACTTTCGTTGGCATAAATCGTTCGGGTTCTGCGGATTTTTTTTTCAGTTTTGAGCACTAGTAGTTACAGAATTACCCTGTAGTCCTACGCTATAACATTCTTCATTTGGGATCCGCGAATTTTATTTAAGCATATATTTGATCAATGAAAGATATCAAAAATATAATGTAGTAATGAATGAAAAAGCTGATTATGCATAATTATATATTTTTCAACGATTTATAGACTTAACACCACGTATTATTTATCGAAACTAACCCTACCAAGAAGTTTGACTTTTCCTTTAATATCTGGATACGAATTTCACGTCAAACAGGTTCACATAGTACCTACACCACAGCTAGACTCGGAAAGTGGTGTAAAATAGCACACACATTAATAGCCTTTCATATATACCAGTAAACAGCTCTGCCATCTAAAAGGAACTGCGACTTAAACTTAGGTTCGATTTGCAAATAAGGTTGATATTATACGTTAAGCATCTGATAGTGCTTTTTATATTATCTTATAAATTACCAAACTGGAAGAGAGCAGCATAAGGCATCGTACTGCTTGTGTGCGTGGATCTCAACGTACACATCATTCAAGCCATTGGCGTACGATGCGTTATGCTGCTTCCCTTTCAGTTTGATACTTGAAGCCAAAAAATGGATTTGGATACACTGAATTGTTGTTGGCGAATCAAACTCACCTGTACAAAATAAGTCTGTTTGTCGTTCTGCGAGAGTACCCCAATTATAAACTGACGGATAAAGTAGGACGGATATTATGGGAATGTCAGCCATGAAACTGGCGACACCTCCAGCTTCAAGCACAAGAACATTCCATCCCTCAACCTCTGACAATCGATTTGCTAATGCAGTTCCACTAGGACTGGCCCCCACTATAACGAAGTCGAATTCTTGATGGGATGTTTTGGGAGGAAATACTGTAAAGGAATGTAAAAATATATTGAAAATTATACTTCTAATGACCCGTTCTCTATAAATGTCTATATATATATATATGTCTCACTATAACATCATTACATTGTATACATTGTCTATGCATTGTCTACGTCAAGACGTAGGCAATCAATGTATACCCGTAAACGCCTATCACTGACTATACACATATTTGCACTTTTATAGTTTCATACCGTCATGTTGTGAATACTGCGAATGTGTATTTATGATCCATGCAGATCCGTCTACTACGTTCTTTGAAATCGTTTTCAAAAAGTCAAATTCCTTTTGCGGAATGAAGGCCGATATCAGTGTTACGATCAATGCTAATATTGTATGTACCAGATGCATTTGAAAATGAAAATCTGAAATAATAATTACTCCTGAAACACAAATGCCTAAGTGAATTCATTCTCATAGGTGGGCATAATGATACACTTTATCTGCTTATGAGTTAATATATATAAAAGGAGTAGTCAAAAAGTACGATATTTATTATTGTGTTCAATGGCAAGTAGACTACATGGCAATGGCGTTGTTTTATTTGGAGATTTGGATGTTCACACACTTTGGATAGTGTATAGTTGCTGTGCCTTTGTTCCGTTTCCGATACACCCAAGCCTAGACCATGCTGAATAAGAGCCAAAAAGCACGGAACAGCTCTAAATGGTTAACTGGTATGGGCATGCAAAAGCAGAGTTTGTTCATTATTTCATCAGTTTTATGTTATAAATCTCAATTAGTACCACCATTGCAATCATTTTTGAGAAACTTACCTGTTAACGTTATAAAACAAGGTACAAGATGTTGACAGAATGATTATGTAAGACTGCTCACCTTGGATAAATGAGGCGAAATGATAAAATTATTGTTAAAATATGCAAATAGATAAGTACTTTTGAAATAAGAACTCATGGCGGTTTTATTTGTATCTATATATAAACAGAGGAATTTTTTGACATGCTTTATAATCCGATGATTTTTGTATTTCAGCATTTGGTGACAATTATGTATGTGATGTAAGAAAGATTACATGAGTTTGGATATACAGTGTGTCCAACAAGTACCACGACAAACTTAAGAAGAAGGTTGGCTTTGGACTGACCTCCCAAATAACAGAAACTTACCTATATAAGTGTCACCGTTTTTGAGATATTGAATTTTTTCTAAAATTTAAAAAAAGAACCTTTTCATCTGTGGTCTTTAGCTGCATATAAAAATAAGGTTATATTTTATACATTTTTTCTATAAAATACTTCTAGATAGTTGCTTTATCATATACAAATGCAATGTAGTTAAGAAATATTAAGAAATCATGATCAAATAAGGACTATTTTGGGATTTATAACCTTCTGATATTTTTTCCTCAACAATATAAACTTATCCTGTGGTTTTCATGTCGATAATTCCCCATATTTCTCCGGCCAATCTAGAGCACATGTGTTAAAAAAAATCGCAACAGTGACTTTCTTCAGCACAATGATTCTGATGATAAATTTTATAAATAACATTATCTCAAAGTAATTGCTCTAAAGAAGGTCATCGTTATGACAGAAACGTTTACAATAAAGATTCTTATAATTAAAATATTGCACACATAAGCACTATGATTGTTTATATTAAATAGGAATTTTGTCAATGGTAGTGAATTATTGTCAGATTTCTATCTGCTTGCGCACTAACTCAATAATCTCTAATGTAAAATAAACAATTTCCTTATAAAATAACCTGACAACAAATGGTTCACTTCTGGCCCTACTCCATTCATGTTAGAAATCAATCTCAAGCTTGCTTATGTAAAATAAGATTTTATCTAGAAATCCATCGGCCTAAAGATGATTGTTTGAAGCTAATTCCAATTTTCCTTAATAAGCCGCTATCATAGCGAATGTTTCGATTTCGAGCAGCCGAGAGAGTCCTGAGATAGTGCCTCAACTTCATTCCTCATGGGGGCTCTCGACTATGGGAGTGGGAATGAGGACAGAATGGTCGGTTAGCCACTACAGGGTAAGCTGCGGAAGGTTGGGATAGATCTGATTTAATGGAGCAATTAAACGTTTAGGCTGTGTGGGAACTCGCGGCGCTTTTGCATACGTATCTCGGAAACGTGCAGTCATAGAGCTCGGGAACACTTTGGTTATTACACGTCAGTTGTTAACAGCGTAATATTTTTCAAGGTGTTTCATTTGTTTCCGGCTAAATTAGATATTAACGATTATGTTATATTTTTGGAGAGGTATCGGGGGTATCTGTTTTGTTTTTTGTTGGTATTTCCTAATTTTGAATCGTTCACGCATTTTTCGGTTCCTAATATCAGAAAAAGGGATAGAACTCTCTCGCTTTGTCGCAATAAGTAACTTTTAATTTCATGCGATTCCGTAGTTATTGCGTAGGAAAGTATTCCAAAGTGAATAAATCGACATTTTCGCAGTCCCCAAGTTATTTCAGTCATTTGAAAAGTAATTACTATGTGTGTACTTTCTTGATCGTGTACTGAAACGTTTGGGTATATTGAATGCTTTGAAATTCAGTTAAAAATTGTAATTTATGACGCCGCCAAGTACCTAAATTCAAGTCGAAACTTCGCGCTACGTGGCCCCGAAGAGTATACAACATTCAAGAAATTTCATTTTAGAAAATTTCCGCGATTACCGTTTACTAAGAACTGAGTGCTCCACTATGTGTCGACATAGATACCCTGTGCAGTATATCATGGGAAGATTGGTATGTATGACCAGAAATGAAATACTTCAAATTTTATTGTAGGATTTGGAACGAAATTGTGAGACTTACAAGTCCTTATCGTCATAACTGCACTTTATAGCGAGGAATGATAGCTTGAAGCTCTATTGGAGATTGCGAGGCCAATTGGATACATGGTATCATCGTCTTTAGCGCCCACTTTTCGTTGCTTTTTGTTACTTTCAATCGGTCTACATATTGGTCTATTTATTGATATTGTGTGTGTCTGTGTTTATCTGTTGCTGATACTTTTAACTTTAACTACCTTGGATGGGATGATGTTCTGCACTCCAAGGGAGTGTCGTTTGCTCTGAACTTTGTAACGTTCTTGAAGATGTTAGTTATATTTCAGTCTATTGAATTTCATGGTTTAACAATATTTTGTACTTTCGTATTTCCCAGTGGGTCTTCTGGATCACTTTTAGTAAACTGACTACTGCTAAAGAATACAAAGAAAGCGCACGAAAATGCGTAAGAAATAAAAATTTGCCTGTTGGTATCAAATTAATGAATAATTTTGACACTATCAACTGCTTTGTTTCAGGGTAAGTGTTTTTTTTTTGTAATTTGGATGTCATTCTGCTTGATCCCATATTTCGGATTATTCGAGAAAAAATCATAGTTGTATCGCTTTGTGTGGCGTACCCTAAAAAACAGCAGAAGCGAAGGAAGTTTGCAATGGATTTTGAAAAACGCTGTTATCAAATTTTGCAACACACTCGTTCGAAAAGCTGCTAAGGGACAGGGAATATTTTATTTGATCAGGTTGACTAACTTTGCTGGCTTGAATGGAGGAAATAGGGTCATCTAACAATTGCAAGTGATTGGTTCCAATTGTTTTGCAGTCAAAAGAATGCCGTCTTGCAACTTGCAACTGCACATTTTTCCTTAGGGCAGTTAAGTTCCACACATAGTACAGTTGCGAATGGGTAATCGCCTTTTCACCATTTGAAATATCAGCCAGCTTGGCTTGTTGAGAATAGAAAGATATGACCTTTCCATTTTTTTATTTACGTAGGTGCTTCAGAAACTGTAATATTGAATCACGAAGGTTTTTCATCTTTTTCAAATATCACAGCTCCATGAGAAGATTTTTTAGTTTCGCTTGCGACAAATTAAAGCTCTTCAAGGTCCGACTGAGACACGTTCTTATTGATTCTCGTCATGATGCAAAAAAATTAATGTCATGTGACTTTAGTTGATCTACCTTTATGAACTTTTTTCGTAATCTTTGAGGGCGTGAAGGTGGGTAAAAAAATTGAAAATGCGTTTTTGCTACTTTTCGACATTTTTTAGCAAAAACTTTCAATGTTATTACTCTTTCTAATTATCCTTTTGATTTAATAACCGAAAATTAACAATTAATTTTACTAAAACTCATTTTTTACCATTTTCATCACTATCTAATCATCTACCAAAATATAACCACCTTCGGATTAAGGTAAATGATAAAAATATAAAAATCAATAGAGTTAATGATACAAAATATTTAGGAATTTATCTAGATCCCCACTTGAGATGGGATGTACATATTTCTCACATACTAAAGAAAATTAGATTCATAGCATATAAAATAAAATTTCTAACCGGTATATTAACTGAATATTATCTACGAATAATATATCAAGCTTTAGTCGAGCCACACATAACATATGGTATAGTAGTGTGGGGTGCTGCATGCACGGCATACTTTAACGATTTAGATGTACTTCAAAGAAGAATTTTAAAATCAATGTTAGGCAAATCAAAATTATACCCAACTAATGACTTATATAATGATGCACAAGTATATGATACTAAACAACTTTACTTTACCATACCATACCATCACTCATTATCACAAAACTATTAGTGAACACGACATAATTAAACATAATCATAAAACCAGATATAAATTACGCGCAAAAAATGTTCCTAAACCAAACAAATCTCTAATGAAACGATGTCACCTGTATATAGCTCCAAAATTGTACGAACATTTACCAAATAATTTAAAACAATTACGCAATACATTAGGCTTAAAAAAAAAATTAAAAAAATTTATTAACACGATTGGGAGAAATCAAATTAATAAAATAATCTCAAATATTACACAATAAATTCTCTACCATTCTTACCAATAATTTCTTTTTTCTCTCTATTTTATTATATTTTGCAATTCAACATACATATGATCCATGCACAGGCGTTGTCCTCCTATGGATATATTATATTTATTTACTCGTTTCATGTTCCCTGTATTTTAGAGTAAATAAATATTATTATTATTATTATTATTATTATTATTTGAAAAGATTTAAGAGAAAAAATGTTTTGCTAAGAAATAGAAACGAATTTAAAAAAAATGTTTTTACCGGTTCATCTCAGATATTTTCAATCCAAAAGTTATTTGAAACGTAAAGTAAAATAATGAAATTGAAGTTTTTTCTATTAAAACGAATAAGTTTTGGTAAAGAAAAATTGAAAACTTTTAATCTGAAAAAATGTATGCCATGCGTGTTTTAAAGACCTTAATTTGGCGCAAGCAAAACCAGAAAATTACCTAGTTCTTCTGAGATATTTGAAAAAGATGATAAATCTTTCTGATTCAATCATATTGAAGCACCCTAGTAAATCAAAATAAAGAGCACGTCATTTCATTCTTAACAAGTCCAGCAGCTTCATCTTACTTTTGGTTACACTTTCTATAATGTACATTTTCTCTTCCCATAACGTTATATACTTTGTATGCTATCTCTGAGCCATCTCGATTTTTTTCAGATTGACGATAAAAGCAGGATGCCCGATGAATTTAGAAGATTTCCCAATGGATATTCAACGCTGTCCCTTAAAGTTTGGTTCCTGTAAGTATGTTCTCTATTCTACAGCTTCTATATATTTGATAATTTTAATGGAAAACTATTAAGGTAGCCTTGACATTGCTCTTGATGAGAAAAGGGCGTTCGGTTGTCTTGAGAGACAAGAGCTGTTGCCAGGTTGTCATCCAAATTGGAGATTTTATCATCAACTATAACAGATGGTGCAGAAATAGTCCTATGTCCTTTTTGAAAGCTGAACTGCTCTTCAGGAAATATATTGTTAGTACAAGTAAACTCTTAAATTTTTTTGTAGCGTATTCTCTCTAATACTTCGGAAAGAGCTGATAAAAGGCCAATGGATCTTAAGTCACTGACTTAATTCTGGATTGTTGGTTTTAGAAAATGGCATAACCAGCGACTCTTTCCATAGTTGGGGAAAATATCCTGTTTCTATGCAGCAATTTAGAACGTGAAATGTAAAAGAATGGGGTGGTAATAATAAATAAAGGATAACAATCCTACAAAATAATTCATACCTAATTAAAGAGTAGTAATAAAAATGCTTTGTTGACTTTGATGAGAAGAATAAGAAAATAGTATATGCTATGCATTTACACGTACGATCTGAATGCTTATAATGATGATACTGCCCAGTTTGACTGGGCTATGAATACTGTAAATATAGTAGGCATAATCCTTTTTTATTCGCCAGTCAACAGCTTTTGCATGAGAAATTAAACACCTGAAAGTCGCACGAGAACTTTTTAAAAGATATATTTTACGTCTATGGAAGGTAAGTTTTGTGGCAAACATATGTACAGTCAAAAAGTTATGGTCTTGCGTTTTGCGAGTTGTGAATCGCAACATCAATAGAATCGGTGGGTGAAAGAACAATACAAGTGCCAAAAATGGCAATTTTACCTGAGATAGCGAGATTGTGTGAAACTTAAAGACTCATCATATAGCGAAAGAATGGTGCAACGACGAGCCTCGTACGTTCGGTGACAGTCTGCTTAATTTACAACGTGGAACGAGCTTTCGACCGAGTTTGGCACGATGGACTCATCGCCAAAATGGAAGCCGCCGGAATCGATGCGAACATGTGCCAACTGATCCAGAGCTATCTAACACAAAGATGGTTCACGGTGAAGATTGGTACATGCCATTCAACAAGACGTCAGCTGGAAGCAGGCGTGCCCCAGGGGTCAGCCTTAGCCCCCCTGCTCTACAACATCTATACGATGTGCCGAAGACAGCTGACACAATGCTGGCCCTATATGCAGACGACACTGCTATAGCCGCCAAGCATAGACGACCCGAGATCATCCGTAGGAGACTACAGGGTGAACTGGACCAAATTCAGGACTGGTGCGTGAAATGGAAAATCCGCATCAACGTCCAGAAGACGCAGGCAATCTTCATTCAACGAAGAAGGATTGCAAGACCTCTCGAAGCATCCATCTTCGATGAAGATATCCAGTGGAGCGACAATGTCAAATATCTGGGGATCGTTTTTGACAAGTCCCTCACCTGGAAAGCGCACATAGAAGCTGTCATCGCAAAAACCAGAGCAGCCATGGCTCAACTCTATCCATTACTGGGTAGACACAACCAGATGCCGCTAGCGACCAAGCTACGGCTGATCAAGGCCATCGCCAGACCTCAGCTCGCTTACGCCTCCGCGGTCTGGGGGTACGCTGCCCCCAGCTACCGCAAGCGACTTGCTGCTCTAGAGATGAAGCTACTCCGGATCGCCACCAATGCACCTTCCTACGTAAGGAACTCAACCTTGCGTAGAGACCTGCATTGGGATACCATCCACGAGTACATGAGGAAAAAAGCGGAGAAGACCTTCGAGAAAGCTCAGGACCACCCGAACGAGCAGCTACGATTCCTCATGGACTACGATCCGGACGAGAGGCCTCGCAACCGCAGAACCAGGTACCCCAGACCAAGGTCCCAGTTGGCACCCGCTAACTGGAACCTTGACTAGGAGACTAGGAGAACTGCGGCTGCTCCCCCCCCCTCACCCCACGGCGTGGATGCAGAGGACCAGGAACCACCGGGACCAGGACCCACCGGGACCAGGACCAACCAGGACCAGGACCCGCCACGACCAGGACCCACCAGGACCAGGACCCTTCAGGACCAGGACCAGGAACAACATATTGGTAAGAGGACTTGAAACTCTTGATTTTTCGAAAACAAGAGTTTCAAGAGAAACTAGCAGACCCTCTATCGATGATCGCTTAACGACATCGATAGAATGTGCGAGGTAAAGGGAACCAACCCGGCGTTCCCAGAGACTGAAACACATGAGGAGACGTTGTAGCAGACCGCAGGTCACGCACAACACATGGCCTACCGAGACGCTGATGAGTCGGGCCACGCGGAGGTTTAGGGTTTAGTGGGTATTAGGTGATCTCCTCAAGACCCTGGAGCCCCACACACGTCGTAGCTCGTGCTATGGTATGGTGCGTAAATGCATTCCCCCCTCGTTATAAAAAAAAAAAAAAAAAAAAAGTGGATCAACGGAAGTCAGCTGATAGAGGGCCTTAAAACCTATCGAGTGAACCCCTATATGTGTGGTCCGAAATTTTATAGTTCAGGAGATATTTGCAGTTCTGTGAAATTGAGTGAAAGAACAGTATACCACCAAGTCATTCTTCTTCAAATATCTTTTTTTATACAGTAATTTCTTTTTAAATTTATGTGAGCTCTATAACTTCACAGTACATGATTAGGCATGGTTTTCATTCAAAACAGTTTTTTTCGTTTTTCTCAAAATGGTAATTTTGGAGATGCATTGTTTTTAACCCACCGAATCAATAGTGGTAACCGAATCATCAGTAAAGTTCATTATAAATGTAGGTACTTACAAGGTGAGAGTTACAATTAAACAGTTACGGTTGAAATTACACAGCAATTTCGTACTGCATGAGTGATATAAGTATCATATCATATAAGTCTCCATCTATCACCTGTATTACATTTTATATTGACTTTGTAATTCTAATTGTTCTCAATTATCCCACCGCTATAGTACTTACATATTGCAAACGGAGATTACGTATTGAATTCTAATAATAGTTGTTCCGAGATAACTTTCTTTCTTATTCAACAAATGAACACTATACATCATCATCAACATAATTATTATATTCCTTTTGTGACAAGGATAAAGTGAAATACCTCAATTGCAATTTTGTTAGGTTTATTCCAAGTTTGTAAAAAGTTAAACAAACTTTGTTAATTCGATTTTTGAACTGCATAAGGTTAGTAGAACTGATAAAAGCCTCCTCAGGAGATTGTTCCACAATCTCAAAACCCTAGAAACAAAGGAGCGTTCGCATCGGCCAGTTCAAGACGTATGAAGTCAGGCGGGTCTGTCTGGCAGACACATCGGGCGTTGGCATCTTGGTGGAAATCTCTGAGGAGCAAAGCCCGTAGGTGAAGCGGTAGAAGACATCTAGATCGTCATAGCCTAGCTTTGTCCCAGCAGCTGCCGCTATTGACGAGACGTGTTCGTGCCAGATCAAGTCCTCAGTCATCCATCGAAATCGGATGAGCGCTACCTTTAGACTGCAATGCAAATGCTCTACCACTGTACCAAAACACAGGCCGGGCTTGGAGGGATTTAAAATTGTAATTATATTTGGATAAAAAAATAAAAAAAAAATATACTCGTCAGTTAATATACCGACCTCGTACGTCTACATGATTATAAACTGTATACGCGCATAGAAGATTGCCCCGCCGCTTTCCGAGTCCGCTACACCAAAGCGCTAGTCTCCAACTCCGCAAGGATACGCCACTGTCTTAGTGCGGAAGATCCGTCAACGCCGCAGATTTCCTAACTAGGAGTATGCATCTGAGTTCCTTTCGAAAAAAAACCCTTTAAAGCGAAGTTCTGATCGATTTTGGATTCAGGCGAGCGTGAATTAACTGGCTGTCAGCTCAATCTTGACGCGCAGATAAAAATCCACACTTCGAGCACATGTCGTTCAATTCCGCGAAACTTTAATTGGTAAGCAATCTGAATCCAAGCCTGAACGATGGTCTTCAAATAAAAACTTACGATTCTTAGGAGAATGTTATCGGAAAGATATTGAAAAGCGCGCTGGAAGTAGTTTGCAGTGTGGATCGCTTTTAAAATAGAGGCAACAGCGTTGCTCGAAATTAATGACTTTCATTTTTAGAACAATAGGAAAAAGTATGTCACCATCGTTCAGATGAATTCCCGTCCATTTCTCCATGATTGTTGGTCGTTTTCTTTGAATAAAATGCCCAAAAGGCAGTGGACACAAAGCCATCTTCACTGCCAATGTGACAGATAACAAATCGTTTTTCTTTTCCTGCAAATAATTATTTCATATAGAATTCAAGAAAACTATTAATAATACAAGCTGAGTATCTAACAGGCGTTGGTTCCAAGCTACTTTTAGTGTAGCTAAGTTTTCAGCGTGGGCTCATAGAGTCAGTCTACTTGGCACCATTTGTACAACACAAATGACAAATTGGTTAAATACACGTACGGAGGATTGTCTTGCTGATTTAATTGTAGAGTCAGTCCATACTTTAGGTTTTGTATGCCTTGCATTTATCCAGGTTTCATTCAAGTAATAAGTCTTCCTGCCCTGGTTGTGGTATTTCTCTATTTATTTTAAATAATTTTTTCTCAATAAAATAATTCCTTGGCTGTCCATCAAAATACTATTTCTGCCCCGTTTCCTATAGTCAAAATGAAGTTCTTTGAGTAAACTATAGAATGTGGTCCTTTTGAAAGTTGGTAAATCTTCATCACTATTAAGCTCCTGTAATACTTTGTCTATGGTGAGAAGTTCCTGCATTTAAAAAAAATTATGAACTTTGCGTCTGATGGCATTCCGATCAAAGTTATCAACTGTATCCAACAGCTTCGTATAACGCAGCCTCTTATATGGTGGATAAAATTTTTTGGCTGTTCTGTATATTCTTTAGCAATGTTGGAAATTGTCTTAGGACATAAGCCTGTTTTGTTAGCCACACATCTTACAATATCGTAA